TAGCTTCTAAACTAGCCGACCTAAAGTAGCAAGTTAAATTTGGTAGTTAGCAAGAACTTCTGCAAAACAAGTGCTTTAAGTGGTGCAAGCGTATATTGTCACTCAAAAATTCAGATGAACCTAGAAAATAGTGAGTTTAATTCCTAAACAATCTGGAAGCAAGAACAACGCAGTATAAACACAGAAAACAGGAAATGAGTACGGTTTACCGCAGGAAACAGCAGTATGTCAAAGGTTCCGCCACACACAACTGTGTGACCTGCATGCAGCTAATAAATTATATATTTCTTATTTAATGCATATACAAGTGAAATGTAAAAACTGTATATGTAACTGTTGTTATGTCTTAATGTTAAGATAGGCTAACCACATCATTTTACTCTATCTCTGTATTTAACATAGATACTGCAACTTATACATTTTGGCAAACCCATGTCTCAAAACAAGTATAAATGACCACAAAATGATGCACAACAGCCAAAAACATTTTAAAGCTCTAAAGCCTAAATGTCGACAGAGACAAAACACACACATACACACAAAACTATTATTAACTATCTACAGATTGTAGATACTGTGCACTCTGCACTGCTGTCATTGCACTTCTGGTTAGATGCTAAACTGCATTTCGTTGCCTTGTACATGGGTAATGACAATAAAATTTAATCTAATCTAAAAAAAAGTCTTACAAAGACAGGTTCTAGATTATCTCTCTCTCAATCTGTGGGTTTTGTGCCTATATAGGAGGGGGGCTTTCTACATGTCTGTGTCAGTGGGCCCAAAGTTTTGGAGCCACAAACATCAGATACTGGATATTGGTTTGCATTATAATATTTTAATTTTTTATTTGGCGTTCATTTGTTACATTTAGTAAACTTCAATGAAATACTATTAATAATATACATTTATTATTGCCAAGAGCCAGGGCGTTGCCTGAGTCTTAAGCCCATATTTATTTTCAAAATGTGCCCTATTCTGTACTAATCCCGCTCCTCATGTAACTATAATGTGAACCACGTTTGTGCTTTTCATTCAAACTAAAACCGAAAGATCAGTTATGAGCTTTATTATAAAAAAAAAAATCCACAAATCGTTGTTTTTGCGTTTTTCCTTTTGTTTTTTTGGTGATAAAGGTTATTTTTTTTAAAAAAAAAAAAAAAAAAAATTAAAGGCGGGTAAAACTTTGCTTTGCTTATAGAAAACGAGGTTATATTAGTTTTCTAGATTGCGTTGCTTCTCATTGCCCCATATAAAAAGTATCTACACGGTGGCAGCCGGCGGTGTTGTATAACCACAGCAACGTCCGCTCTATCCTCCACACTACCTGGTAACAACGCTCACCCAATCCCGTGGCAGGACTGAGGGGGCGTGACCAATGAGAGAGGATGACATTGTGCTGAGAATGTAAGCAGAGCACGTCACTGGCTGATGAGGTACCCGCCCACATTTGCCTTACTGTACGCACCCACCTACGACCCACGCAAAAAAAAAAAAAAAAAAAAAAAAAAAAAAAAGCTACCCGGGTCGCATCATGACACAATGACATCACGTGGCGGTGAGCGGTACTGCATCACAATTTAAGACGAAAGGCTACAATTAATTGTACATTTATAAAATGGATGATATGAAAATGACACAAACAGTTTAGGCTCTTTTTACCATAGCAAATGACTGCTCATGGCTCTGTTTATTGTTTTCCTTGTTGTTTGCTCTAGTAGGGTTTTTTTTTGCATATTTCTAATGATTTACTTTTAGCTTCTTTTTATGTGCCTGTTCTTATTTCTGTTGTGTTGTTGCAGGGCCTGATATCTTATCATTTATTTTCTGTTTTATCTGTTAAAACGTTAAATTTAACTATTATACCGTTATATTTGAATGCTGACATAAAAGCCAAAGATGACATTACAACAAATATTTCACATATGGAGGGAAAAAAGAACAGTAGTTACATTAGGGCAACTTCAAAGTAAGAGACAGAGGATTATTTAGAAAAATTTGAACTAAAAATGTGAATTTATTTGTAAACCTAAAACACTTTTCCCACTAGATACTTGAGATAAACCTCCAAAATTCCTCCCGGTCGCCAGATGGCGACGCTCCCCTGTAGGTTGTGCCGTTGTCTTCCCAAGTAGCCAATCAGTGTGCTGTCCACCGGAAACAGCTGATCAAATACGCGCATCTGTTTGAAGCATGACTTGGAGGGAAAATAACCTGAAACCTGTTGTTAAGGGGCTGAAATTTGAACATATAACAGGGAAAACCATTTAGATGAGCAGAAACAGGAATACACAACCATTCAGTATTTAAATTGGTGCGTATTGTCTACATGTCGGCTAACAAACCGGTTTTCCAGGATGCTTTTCTTTGTCATCTGATGTTTTGGCAGTTTTTAGACAAACCCGCTTAATTTCAGTTCTAGTTCCAATACCCCAAAATCTTTTTGACATCTTCAAATGTAGAATTATTGTGATTTAGGGATTGTAATATAATGTATTTTGGCGCTAAATTGTGGTATTGACAGCGCCTTTAGAAACAAGTTTCGAAAGTGTTTCCCTGTACAATGAAATTCTTATTTTGCCGTCCACATGAATGCCACAAAATACCAATGAAATATAAAGTAGATAAATAAGTAACACAAAATCTAAGGCACTTTAAGCAGCAACAGATGCAGCAATATAATAAAAAATATATAAGAATATAACAATGTATGCTGCATGGGAATTTAAATAAGCAGTGGAGCCGAATTATTAAATATCCAGGGAACTTGGTGTTTACATGAAGATGTAAGTGAAAATGTAAGAGCTATTTAAAAGCTAAATTAAAAATAATTTTTATTTTCAAGCTAATCAAAAACCAAATTAAATCTCAAGCTTGTGGTTTTGTATTAGTTGAACTGTTTAAGGGTTTTAAAACATGAAATATGTGTCAATTTTGTCAAACTTAGACATATTTAGTAAGCGCTCGTCTTCAAGTTTTGTAACAAAAAACCGGTAGATTTCTTCCGCAACGCTTCAGGTGTCACGTGAACACCACTCGCAACCCGATTGGCTGCGTCATTTTAAAGAGCCTCCCCAAGGTGCGTTTCTATTGGCTGGTTGCGTTGTAGCGCCAAGAGTTAAATAAAAAAGCGAGCGGACAACAGGTTTCAGTTTGTAAGTCTTCTGCTTTTAGTTGAGCTTTCATAGTTTCTTGTTTTTTTTCCCTTTTAGTTCCTTAATTTATTTTATTTATCCGTCTGAACCTTTAGAAGATCGAAATGCATTCTGCTCGTTCTCCTCGATCTCCTTTGTGCCTGAAGATTGAACAGTCTCTCAGCAGCCGGATCAGCAACATGGCACTGGACAAAGAAAACACGGTGAGAAGGAAAATACCGTAAAACTCTGGTTTCATCCTCAGTTGAAACGTTACACTTTGTTTTAGAGGCTAACATTAAGCCCTTTGTGTAGTGAAGACTCATGACAGCCATTTCCTGACCAGCTGAGCCTGGCCGAGGCGGGTGTGATGTGTATTTCCAACTAAATCGTGTAAACTGAGCAGAGAAACTAGTTTGTGACCCTGAAGTCTGTCTCTCTGACGCAGCCTCCGAGCCTGAACAACACCCGCATACTGGCCTCGAAAACCGCGCGGAAAATCTTCGACGACGCTTCGGTAAGTGACTGAAAACCTGTAACACGTCAGAAACCTTCAGTATTCCAAACACATTATTTATACTTCTGTTCAGATAAACATAGTTTGGTTGTGTTTGTTCACGTGGCGCCTAAAACTGCGGTTGTGGCGCCAACGTGGACAATCAGCTCTTTGTGTTCATCTTCATAATCGTCAGCTCAGATGTCTCAGTAGGAGTCTTTACGTCTTCAGGGCAGGGTTTCTGTCTGGAAAGATGAGATGTGATATTTTATATATGTGTATATGTTCTAGATCAAATGATTCTCAAGCATGAGACAATTCTGTTTGTCCACATTTAAACTGGCCATGATTATTTTTATTGGGACCAGCTCTGTTTTCTCAGCTGGTCCACTAAACCTTTCTGTTTGAAACTCGGATTGTAAAATAAAGCTGATAAGAGTTTGGTCATTTGCTTTGGTTAAGTGTTTCAGCTTGAACTTAAACGTTACCAGTCAAATCCAGGCCTCTGCTCTGTTGCTTCATAGACAAGATGATGAACTGGTAATGAAGATGATCACCGGCTGCAGCCGTGCATCAGATCACTGTCGACAGATGAGTTAACGTGTGTTGTGTTGGAGCTGCTTGGTCTGTAGCTGATGTTCTTGTTTGGATGTTTTCAGCCCAAATCCGTGAAGAAGAGCAGCAGCAGCAAGGAGGTGGAGCCGCTGCTGAAGGACAACCCTCATCGCTTTGTCATCTTCCCCATCCAGTACCACGACATCTGGCAGATGTACAAGAAAGCCGAGGCGTCTTTCTGGACCGCAGAGGAGGTAAGTGCCACAGCCGCTCCGCTCAGGAGTCCTGCAGCCTCGTAGTCTCTGTCCGTCTCTGTAAACGGTCTCTTTGTTCAGGTGGACCTGTCCATGGACCAGCAGCACTGGGAGTCTCTAAGGGACGAGGAGCGCTACTTCATCTCTCACGTGTTGGCGTTCTTTGCCGCCAGCGACGGGATCGTCAACGAGAACCTGGTGAGGGTGATGCACCTGAAACCTGGGGCCTCAGAGCAGTGACTATTGATCAGTTACTGGTTCAGCTCTGACTTCTGATGTTGTTTGACTGCGACCACCAGGTGGAGCGCTTCACACAGGAAGTGCAGGTGACGGAGGCCAGGTGTTTCTATGGTTTCCAGATCGCCATGGAGAACATCCACTCTGAGATGTACAGCCTCCTCATCAACACCTACATCAAGGAGCCCAAGGAGAGGTGAGGGCTCAGTCTGTTACTGGTTTTACTGGTGTGTCACTGGTCTGTGCTCCCATGTAATGGTGCATTCAATGACCCTCAGAGAATACCTGTTCAATGCCATTGAGACGTTGCCATGCGTGAGGAAGAAGGCTGACTGGGCGCTCAACTGGATCGGCAACAGGAGCGCCACCTACGGTAAATCTGCTCTCTGTGACACCACACTGTCCCCCAGTGATCGGGTTTGGTATTGATCGTCTGTGTCTGTCGATGTCCCAGGAGAGCGTGTGGTGGCGTTCGCGGCCGTGGAGGGAATCTTCTTCTCTGGGTCCTTCGCTGCGATCTTCTGGCTGAAGAAGAGAGGCCTGATGCCCGGCCTGACCTTCTCCAACGAGCTCATCAGCAGAGACGAGGTGACTAATCGATCAGTAACTTCAGTGTTCATTAGACCTGACACATTTAATGGTTCCAGCTGCTCTGATGTGAGGAGTTTGCTGCTTTTTGGTCTCTGAGACATTTGCTGACGTCCCTCTGTTGTCTAGTGAGTCGTGACAGGCTTTGTTCATTGTTCACTGGTTTGTTGACCAAATAATTGGCTTTGCCTCTAACGGCTACTTGTTCAAGTGGGGTTTAATAAGTGATATGAAATGAGTATTTCTGTCTCGGCTGCAGAGAACTGACAGTGAGATTGTACTGGTTTAACTGGTGTCTTGCCAGTATGAAGGTGAAACTCTGGCTGGACTGAGTACCTTCTGAATAGGTTTTGTCTTGACTGTTGGAACCAGTGCTGTGCTCTAACTGGAAATGCTGGTTTCAGGGGCTGCACTGTGACTTTGCCTGTCTGATGTTCAAGCACCTGGTGAACAAGCCGCCCAAAGAAACCGTCACCGCCATCATCAGGAACGCCGTGGAGATTGAACAGGTATGTTGACAACGGCACCCACAGGTGAACACACTGGTCTGGGTGATGGTCTCCCAGTTCACTCATCTGGTTTGTGTTTTGTGCGCAGGAGTTCCTGACGGATGCTCTGCCGGTGAAGCTGATCGGGATGAACTGCGAGATGATGAAGCAGTACATCGAGTTTGTGGCCGACAGACTGATCCTGGAGCTCGGCTTCAACAAGGTCAGTGCAACTTGTTCATTCTGTTTCAAACTTGTAGGAAGGTCTGAGGTGTTTTTATGTTGAAGTGTGGGCCACTGTTTATTGTCAACAGTTATAGCTTTGACTGAAACTGTCAACAGTAACAGTATGGCCACCAAACAGAACTGAGTGAAACACTGTGATAATGTAGGTCCAGTTTCCAGAACTAACTCCTGCTCTGTGTGCAGATCTACCAGGTGGAGAACCCCTTCGACTTCATGGAGAACATCTCTCTGGAGGGAAAGACCAACTTCTTTGAGAAGCGTGTGGGCGAGTACCAGAGGATGGGCGTGATGTCTGGCTCCACGGACAAAACCTTCAGAGTGGATGCTGACTTCTGACGAACCAGCCACACCTGCAGGAGGACCTTTTAACCTTTGTCTCTGTGCATTCTGGGAATGAGTCGTGACAGGCTTTGTTCATTGTTCACTGGTTTGTTGACCAAGTTACTCAAGTAATTGGCTTTGCCTCTAACGGCTGCTTGTTCAAGTGGCGTTTAATAAGTGATATGAAATTAGTATTTCTGTCTCGGCTGCAGAGAACTGACAGTGAGATTGTACTGGTTTAACTGGTGTCTTGCCAGTATGAAGGTGAAACTGGCTGGACTGAGTACCTTCTGAATAGGTTTTGTTTTACTGATTTTGATGATTATGGATTAAAGACAAAAAAAACCCAAATCCAGTATTTCACAAAATTAGAATATTTCATGTGACCAATAAAAAAAGGATCTTAAACACATGTTGGCCTTCTGAAAAGTGTGTTAATGTACTGTATTATGTCCTCAGTACTTTGTTGGGCCTCCTTTTGCATTAATTACTGCATCAAGGCGGCGTGGCATGGAGGCGATCAGCCTTTGACACAGTTGAGGTGTTATGGTAGCCCAAGTTGCTTTGATTGGCCTTCAGCTTGTCTGCATTTCGGAGTCTGTGTTCCCTCATCTTCCTCTTGACAATACCCCATAGATTTTCAATGAGGTTTAAAACCCTCCTGTTATGTTGCGGGTCAAATTGACCCACGAACATAACTGCTGAGCAGGCATCACCTGAGAAATGAACATAACAGGAGGGTTCCCCATGTTCGTGGGTCAAGCATGTTAAGTCAGGTGAGGGCCCCCCGCCTCTCGTCTAGTGTCAGCCTGGATTGTCACCACTAACCAGCAGCCCTGTTCAGGAATAAGTGGTGTGGATGGATGAGCTGCGGGCGTCTTAGCTGCTTCCAACAAGCAAGACGTGATGTCTCAGACACTGAGCCACTGAGCAGTTAGTGCGGTTTGTTTTTTAGTGACTTTTCTGCATCTTCTTCTTCACTCAGTTGTTCCCGTTAGGGGTTGCCACAGCGAATCATCTGTTTCCACCTAACTATCCTCAGCATCCTCTACTCTCACCCCAGTTAACTTCATGTCCTCTTGTAGCACATCCATATATCTCCTCCTTGGCCTTCCTCTTGACCTCTTGCCTGGCAGCTCCATCTCCAACATCCTTCTACCAATATAACCACTATCCCTCCTCTGCACATGTCCAAACCATCTCAATCTGGACTCTCTGACCTTGTCCCCAAAACAGCCGACCTGAGCTGTCCCTCTGATGTGCTCATTCCTAATCCTGTCCATCCTGGTCCCTCCTAAAGAGAACCTCAACATCTTCATCTCTGCTACCTCCATCTCTGCCTCTTGTCTTTTCCTCACTGCTACAGTCTCTAACCCATACAGCATAGCTGGTCTCACTACTGTCTTGTACACCTTTCCTTGGATTCTTGCTGACACTCTTCTGTCACACAACACTCCTGACACCTTTCTCCACCCACTCCAACCCGCCTGCACTCGCCTCTTCCCCTCTTTCCTACACTCCCCATCACACTGGACTGTTGACCCCAAATACTTAAACTCCTGCACCTTCTTGACCTCAGCCCCCTGTAACCTCACTGTTCCACTTCCCTCCCTCTCGTTCAT